AGTATTGAAACTCAATGGAGTTAGTTTCAGGTCTGATTACTCAGGCCCCCCAGCTCCTCCAAACCCCTTGGAGTAAAAAAATGCGTAAACATATAACAAAAACGTGTCATTCTTGTTTCTTTTCCACAATTGGTCCTCCTATAATCCACCTGAAGTTATTCGTACTCCAGCATCGTATAAAACTTGAAAGTGAATTTCGTTGATATAAAAATGGGAAAAGTATGGAAAAGCACTTGTGTTTGAACCTGTTTTCAGATAGGGTCATGTGTTTCGTTCTTTATCAAAGTGGTTCATGTGTTTGAATTCCGTTATCACAAGAGGGTCACACCGTTAAAAACTTATGAAAAAGACCGTTAAAAGTAACTCCGATTTTCAAAAGTGCCCGAAAAATTAAAAGAAAAATACCGGAAGGTGTGCCTCAATAAAACGACCGCTAGGCCATCTTTCTTTTTTGTTTTCAGCCACCCTTGTCACCGGAAAGTTCATCGGAAAAGTGATATTAGCAAAATCATTTTTAAAAAAATAATTGAAATAGATCTGAAAAATCCAAACGCGAAGGTGGTTTGGAGGTCATCTTGACGATGCACACTTTTCAGTATTATTATTTTAATTTTTCGGGCACTTTTGAAAATCGGAGTTATTTTTAACAATCTTTTTTCAGACGTTTTTAACGGCGTGACCCTCTTGTGATAACGGAATTCAAACACATGAACTACTTTGATAAAGAATGAAACACATGACCCTATCTGAAAACGAGTCCAACCACAAATACATTTTTCGTACTTTTCCCAAAATAGTATAGACACCATCCATACGCGTTTTTCTCTGCATGACATCGTCAATAAAATAACATATTATTTCTTTTCACATATTGGTTTAGTAAAACATTAAATAAAAGACTCGGTTGTATATCATTGATTTTACATAAAGCTCAGTGTTTTCGCACAATCTATCTAACTAACTACCTCATTGTTTTTAAATTGAATTTTTGTGCAAATGATATACACTTGATGAAACATATGCTCACAAAGTTTATCAAAAATCTCCACTTGGAAGGCCTCAAACGGGCTTGGTCGGTCAGGGCACCTGATCAGATCAATCCTCTTACATTAAAATACACTCCCTTTATCTCATTCAAAGGTTCTCATTTTATGTTTTTGCACGTCCCAGCTAAAGGTTCTCAATATCTTTTTTAGGAAACAATCAACACTCTTTAATAATAATTTAATTATCACATATTAAAAATAATACATCTATAACAACACAATTATCATCAATAACTCATTATAGTATACACTCATCAAAACTTTTCCCAAATTGTCATATTTAATTATTGTCTAAATAATCCTGCATTTTTGCAATGAGAAACTTTGAACGGAACGAAGGTAGGACTTGGTATTATAAAAAATAGGGATTTGAATTATTCAGATATGGTGATAAGGAGTATTATTATTGATAGACAACACATGCAATTTACATTTAGAATGTCTTTACTTAGACTTTTTTATTCTTAGATGAGACTAGACTAGACTAGACTAGACTTAAACAAATTAGATGAATAAAACAAACCTGCTCAGTTTTTGACAATTATAAAATACACAAAGGCCAAGTATCTATCAGATCAGATTTAAACAGATCAAATCAAGAAAATTTCAATACAAATCATCCTTATACTCTTCATTTTAGGTTATTTATATTGATGTACTCCTTACTTTAAAAAATCATGTTCTCCTTGCAATGTTCTACTAAAGAAAAAGAATGAAAAAGTGAGAAAAAAGATCTTACTAAGCCAACCTTGTTGAGTAGTCTTGCATGTAGACACATGGGAAATTGATATTGAGTAACTGAAGAGTCTAGTTTTGCAACCGCCCTCGTTTCACACTCCATCCTAAATGCCACTACACTTTTGCGTTTATATGTACTCCGTAGTGTGTGTATATATTGGGAGCTGTTCCGGTAAGAACGGACTCACAAGAAAGAAATGAGAACGAATTTGGACCGTTGGATTATTTTATGTGGAAAGAAGTGAGAACGGATCTTCACTTACAGCTAATCTAATGGTCCAGATTCATTCTCATTTCTCTCCTAAGTTCATGTTCTTATTTGAACCAAAACATATATATAAGAACCTTCAAGGTTTTGGTTCAAATAAGAACATGATCTTAGGAGAAAAATGAGAATGAATCTGGACAGTTAAATTTGCTTTAAGTGAATTTTGATGTGCATTAAATAAAACTGTAATGTGCATTATGTGAAATTGAAATGTGCAGCACAAATGGTACGATACAGTGGCATTATATGAAGTTGAATTGTGTATTATGTGAAATTGAAATGTGCACTAGGTGAAACTGAAATGTGTAGAATAAAAGGTACGATGTGATGTTATTTTTGTACCTTTTATTCCGCACATTTCAGTTTTACCTAATGCACACTTGAATTTAAATTTTGATTCTGCACATTTCAATATCATCTGATGCACATTTTAGTTTTCACCAAATGCACAATCCAGTTCCACATAATACAATCCAACGGTCCAGATTCATTCTCATTTCTCTTCTGGGAGTCCGTTCTTACCGGAACCGCTCCATATAAGGCTGAAAGATCTTACCGGTAACAAAAATGCATGACCCAAAGGTGCCCCCTTTGCGATAATGATTGTAGCTTGAAAGATTGACTAGAATATCACTTCTAGAGTTTCAATTTACAAAAAAATGACCAAATTTTGTGTGGACAAAAAACTGACTAAAATTGGAATGAATGGACTGAAATATCCTCAGCCCTAATCACCCGTCCGAGTAGCGCAGGACAATTCTTACGCTCAACAATTCATCGAGGACCTCTTCTTCTCTCCTGCTGTGCTCGTATGCTTCAACCACAGTAGCGGCGGCACCACTGGCGGCATCCACCGTCTGCGATGTCTCCCTCATCATCTCCGTCGCTTATGCCCTCTTCGTCGCTTGTGCTGCGTCTTCAACGGCGTCGACGCTGCCCTCACTCGTTTTCTTCTTCTCTTACTTTTCCTCTCTGTTACATGAGCGATTGGGGACAGTGAAGATCTAATAATGACGGAGATAGAGCCGTTCATTCGTTGATGGTGACTTTGGAACATATTTGTTGGCAAGTGAGGTTGTGCGAACAGATCTAGGATGGGGCGGGACAAGGGCAGTCCTTAATGGAGCGTCATCGCGGCTGGCGGAGGTGCAACGAGGGTTTTGTGGAGGTGCGGTGGTGGTATGGTAGGCCTTAAGGCAAATTGGCCGGAGAAGGGGTTGAGTGCGGTGGAGGGGAGCAGTGTAGAGAGACTAGGACAAGGAGTGGGTGCTGGGAAGCAGGTGCGTAGGGCTATGGGCAGGGGCGGGTCATCAGGGCGGTGGTGGTGGTTGGAGGCTGTGACGGTTGATGGCTTGTTGCGGTGTATGGCGGTGATGGTCACTGTCGTTGTGAAGGGGCTGGGGAGGTGGATGGGCGCTGGGAAGGGGCTGGGGCGGTGGTCGGCAGTGGGGAGTTGGCCGGTAGTGTTGGTCACTGGGCAGACAGTTTCGTCATTCGGCTGCGGGTTTGGTCATTAACGGGGCAATAGAGGTCACTGCACGGCAATCATCGTAGAAATTGGTCACCGAGCGGATGTCACTTTGTTAATTGGTCACTGGACAAAAGTCACTGTGTAAATTGGTCACTGAACGGGAGTCACTATAGGGTTGGTCACTCACGGTGGCCGGCGGAAGTCACTATGATGGAGGTCACTGAATGGTATGTCACTGTGACGAACTAGGTCACTGATTGATAAAGTCACAAGGGTCAGGGGTAATTTAGTAAGTGTAATGTTAATTAGTCACATTTTTGGAAATTAAAGAGAAAGTTAACTTTTTTGTCCATTTGCTAATTTTTAGTAATATTGGTGACCTAACCCTTGTAGCTTTACTTAAAGTTGATCATCTGCTTATAGATTCGTATCATGCTGCTATAAAACTCAATTTCTATGAATCTGATATGTGTTTGCTGGTGGTTAGGTTTTATTGAGTTTCTCTTATGCTTTTCACTTCAATTCATTATATTTTAAATAGGAGAAATGGAAACTAATAATCCAACCTTTTATGACCTGTTATTCCAAGTTATTTTCTTATCTTTGCAAAACAGTATGTGACCATAAGGCGGGAATTATGGTATAATGAGAACAGGTATCAGACCGAACCGCACCGAATTATAATTTTATTAATTTATATAATTTTATAATTATATATACATGTATACCATATTACCATTACTTTGATTACTCATTTGCACTTTGCTAATTGCTAGTTAACCGGATTGGTAAAAATGAATAGTATTATATGAAATTCATTAATTATGTTATTGCTAGTTATTTATGTTTTGTACTATTATAGTTTATACGAAATTCATTAACTATGCAATACTACATCTGTCCCAAAAATCTTTTCCATTTTCAAAACTTTGACCAATTATATTTTTTTATTGAGAATTATTTATAATATTAAAATTATATGAAAAAGTTGTTTGTTAAAAATATTTTCATAAAAGTATAAAATTTATAACTTCCATAATACTATACTAATCAAAATCATGGTTCAAATATTTTGAAATGACAATGTATTTTAGAAGGTAGTATGAAAATTGATAATTGTGTGGATTTTTGGATGATGATTAAGTTTTAATTTATCAAAAAAGTGACATTGTTTGGCATTGGTATGACATGATACCGGACCGTTTGAAAATGTAACTGAACCGTACGAGTTTAGGTCTAAGATCGAATCAAACCGAACCGTTTCAATAGTAACGATCCTGGTACGAGTTCGATAAAATATTGGATCGGACCGGACCGCGCCCACCCCTAAGAAATCCATTTAACAAAAAGGGCAAACGACAATTTCAAAGCTGAATACAGTATGTTTTCTATGTTGGGCTGGACTGATTTCCCGGCCTGTTGAACTTGTTGAGAGGTTTGGGTGAGTAAAACTGCAAATTTAGGGGCGAAAAAGGCATAAAGCTAAACACGGCCCTAGTTGGAGGATACGAGGTGCCGATGTGCCATATAGAGCGGTTCTAAGCTCTAAATAATCAGAAATATGAAAAGCAAGCTCAGAAACGATTCATAGATCAAGACTTCACACAATAATTTGAGTTCGCCTTACAGAATCAAAGAATGGCTTCGCCTTCATCAGATCCCATGGATGATGGCAGCTTCAGAGCTCGAGTTCACAAGGTATTCAGCTCGCTATCTACGCCGCCGTCTTCGAATTCGCCGGCGCTGCAGCCGCTGTGGTCTCTCACAGACGACGAAGTGGAGAAGAGAGATTGGAATCGAAGCAAAAATAAACCAGGTAAAGATGATGACAGTACCATCTGTTCGTCTTCGTTCGATGGTATGTTCAAACGAAATCGCGAAGGCCTTCCTAAACGGTGTGTTGACACCGATAATCTCAGTGGAGAGGAAGACGGTGAAGGTGAAAAGAAAGGGTTCGGTTACAGCGATGATCTCAGTGGAGAGGAAGACGGTGAAGGTGAAAAGGAAGGGTTCGATGAAGACATCGAAGTTCTTAGTGGTGAGGATGATGGTGACGATACAGATGTTCTGGAAATCAGATCCTCCATTGGTTTGGATTCAACCCTAGATAACGAGGTATACTTCACTTCTCTTACTGCTTTGTTGGTTCCTCAATTCCTCTTTTATTTACCTTCTATACTGTGTAGTTTTTAGGTATTTCAGGCTTCATATGTCCCAAACTTTGGTTAGGAGTAATATGTTGGGTTATACTACGTATATCTTGTACATCTCATCCCCTGCAAAATATACTGTTCAGAAAGTAACTTGACTGGAAGAAAAGCAATCTAATTTTGAATGCACGACTTTAGAGCAATTTTAGAAGCTCTCATAAGCGTGCATTCTTAGTTGAGCAGTGCATTTAATCTTAGATAATTCTGTGATTCCATCACTTTGGTATGAATTTGAACTATTTTTTTCCCTGATGATGTGGCACACTAGTCACCTCGCCTCGTGTCCCTAACTGGCTAATAACCATGAGGATGTAAGTCAGCCCACAATGGATGTACACTAGGCAGTCTTTTGCATGGTTTTAGCACAGGACCTTAGGTCAACATGTTCACTGCTTGACAAACTTGGCTTCCCTTCTGGTAATTTGAAACCATCTTGGTCATAAACACAATAGTGGCTAACTAACCTACACGGAGTAGTATTTTTGAAAATTTGGTTTAAAACAACAAAGGGTTTTCGTTGCCAGAAGGACGGTTGTTCACTTGTTCTTGGTGTAGTTCTTGCCTTCTTGGGTTTAAGTCTTCAAGTAACCTCTCTTAGTGTCTGTTTGGATGTAGTGTTTTGGAGGGTCGACTCGAAACCTGGCTGCCCATCATTAGAACCAGTTCGGTAGAGTCGGACCCGCTATTATGGGTAAACCCAGAATTAACTGGTGACCTGCCTTGATCCAGACCGGAGTGCGGAACGCTCTGAACCCGGAAAATTTACGAAACCCGGTTTCCAAACTAAATGCTTCTTTAAAAATTCCATCATCAAGGGGTTTCAAACCCTGGACACACGCTCATTTATACGCATGCAACACCACCTGGGCAACTTGAAATTTTCTTCAACTTCTTTTATAGTTTACTCTTGTAACATTTTTAGGCTTACAATTTTATTATTGATTATTTATTAATAATCATAACTCTAACTATTACTCTGTATGATTACTATTATTATTATACTAATGAACTATTTATGAAATATTCATAATATCTATCAATTATATTTATAATTTTTATATACGAATATTATGTTCACATATTTTCCTATCTTATTCCATACACATTTTGGATTATGTAAAATAACTTTATATTTTGGTACATTGTTTTTATTTATTCATATAACCGAGTATTAAATTTCAAATGAGAGTACCTTTTGACCTTACAACTTTAATCTCATATACGTAGTATAATTATACATATCTTATGTCTTTTCTCAACAAACATTGACCAGGTTCATAGGGTTGACCCATCGTTGACCGGGCTGACCCTTGACCAGTGGCGGATCCAGGAATTGCTTTTATTGGGGGCACACTATTTAATGATATCGCCGCCTAACTATGTTTAAGTCGTAAAAACACATATTGATAAAAGTAAAACTATGTTAGTTTGGAAATTATAATTTAATATGATGAATCACACAAACATTACCAAATATATTATGTGACAACGAAAGTAGGACAGACGAAATATAGAAAGATTAGAAAAATATAATAGGACAAAGTACTTTGTAATATACACAACATTTCAGTTCTTGCAATTTAAGAATATTTTTAATAATTTTTAAACACAGACGGAGTATTTTTGGAGTACTTTTTAAAACTAAGCTAATAAGCTTAGTTCTATATTTTAACTCCCACTAAAACCTAAAAGACATGGAAAAATTTCAGAAATAAGAGTAAAAATATTTGAGAATTCCAAAATAGGAGTGTAATGTTTTTATTCCTTGAATAAGAGTAATTACTGTCAAGTCTGATACCGTCAAAACATGACATCAATTATATTACTCTTATTTAGAAAATAAAAATATGACGGTTCTATTTTAGAATTCTGAAATGTTTTTAGTTCTATTTAGTACCATTTATGAAAAAAAACATTAATAACTCGAAACAATCCCACGAAATATAATTGCAATCGTATTTTATTTAATCCCTACATAAAATTATAGATGCCAGAGGAAGTAAATTTACAAAAGCAAATTAAATAGTGGTTATGAGTCGTACATATTGCCTATATTAGTCTAGGAAAAGTAATCAAGAAATTGATTAATTAAACACCCATAGTAAATGATACGGTCCATAAGCGAATAATTTTACAAAGTGGAGGTAACTTCCTCTTTGGGGGCATCACTATATTTTAATTGGGGGCACCTGCCCCCATTCCCTTGGCTATACATCCGCCACTGCCCTTGACCCAGTCTCTTGTCTAGCTCGCCTCCTGGTCCGGTTTTGAGAACTTAGTTTTTTTTTGCTCTGCTCTCTTACTTTTGTTAAGCTTACTCTATTGAAATACATAAAGACCTTTATTTTTTCATCTTCTCTTTATACATTTCTATTTTTTCATCTTCTCCCCTACTAGTCGGCAACTAGTAGTCGCTACTGATATTTTACTCTTAGGCTTCAGGAGAGCACTACTACTTCGAATAAGAAAACAGAGGGAGCATCTTGAAAAAAGAATGCTTCAAACCGTCCATCCAAACAGTTCACTTACTTTTGAAGTTTGAGCATAATTTGGTTGCCGAAGTAGTAATAATAGTCCATATAAACTAGCTTTTTCTATTGTTTTGGCTAAATGGAAAGAAAAAATCTCAAAAAATCCTAAAAAACAAGGTTTCTTTGCTTCAGACCCACACATAGGATTAGGGTAAAGGGTAAATTTGCCCCTGATCTACTTTGTTGCTGATATCATGTTTGGTTTCCTGCAGGAGGAAGAAGATGAATATGACAGGATTGCTGAGGGGGAGTGGAATACCAATCACTCCTTCTGTAAAGATCCTCGTGCAGATCAGATTGCTGCTCAACTTAGGCTCAGGGAAGATGATGTAGAGGCATCAAAACGCAAACCTAAAGTTTCTGATGATCATTTTAAACCAAAACCAATATTGAAAACGAAGGAAAATTCTGAGGCAAAGTCTGGAAAACGAGTCAGATTTGATCCAAGTTTTGTTGATGACTTAGATAATGACCAACAAGAAAGACCAGTTGTGTCTGCAGATGAAAGTCAACCCAAGGTTCCTGATCATCTCATCAATCTTTCAAAATACACACGTTATAGTTTGGATTCGTGTGGTGAGATTGATGATGTCTCCAACAGTCGAGCTTGTATGTATGTGCTTGAGGAGGTGAAAAAGTGGAAGCAAAAGAGCTCACCAACTGAAATTGATTCTCATCAACCTGTTACCTTTGTTCCTAAGAAGAAGACTGCCAGTATAATAGCAATGGAAGATGATGGTAAAGGCTATTCTAAAGAAAGTGTGAACCGACCGAGCTTTCCAGTACACATTGCGGCTTGGGAGGAACAAAAAAATGAAAGTGAAACAACAGAAGAAGATGGTGATTTCGGAATGGATATGACAGAAGACAGTGTTGTTCGTAAACCAGATCGCCGTTACCGAAGCAAGTCAAGCATGGAAGATGACCTTGATTAAAGAACTTCATAATGGGTTCTTATAATGTTATGTGGTTAGAAATGGAACTTACGTTCCACTCTGGAATTGCAAATCTTCCCTGTTTCTTTTCTTTTGCTCTTGTTTTATTCTTTTGCGTGTGTTTGTTTTACTTTTGTGTTAATACTAATATCGTGACAAATGACTTCATAATTTGGATGTGTGAGACTATGAGAGGCCTATGTTTTTTGGTGGACGTTATTTATACTCAGAAAAATCTAATAAGCGATCACCAAAGATGGTATTTCTTATATTCAAATGAGAGTTGAATATCACTAATAATACGCTTCCCGTCCATTAAAAGCACATATTTTAAGCAAAGGATGACTTCTTGGGCGAAAAAACATATACTCCGTACCACATTGCCATTTTCAATGATTTTACATGATATCACTAATACATTTTCAGCAATCACAAGTTGAGTAGTTCTATTTAAATAATTTCATATAGTAATATTCGTTGTTTCAACATTTCAATAGTTACCTTTTCAAAAAAAAAAACATTTCAATAGTTACGCTATTTAAAAACATAAAGTATAACCATTTCCTTTGATATATATAACAAAGCTGTATTGTAATAAAGTGAATGGAACCAATTTTATCAATTTTATAAACTTATTGACTTCAGACCAAATCCTTTTCATATTCCTGGCGTAGTTCTCTTAATTCACTTCTTTTTTATACAATTTTGGATTTTCTTAATTTACATTTAATTATTAACGCATCTAGTGTTTGTCTATTAATTCAAACACGAGTCAATTAACTGAAAAAAAAACTACTCTTATTTTCGAGCATATATGTCAAGAATATCAGGTGCTCATACCAACTATCTGCAAAATTTGAAACCAAGTCTCAAAAGTCAAAATGTATAAAGTTCGTCAAGCTTTGAGTTCGAATCCGAAGACCACTTTCATAGAGTCATCCAAACATGAGTTCAGGATGTTCAGGCACGACTTGATTTTGCAATCCCCATGGCCTAAGCCAATATTCGTATTTGGAATAAGCGTTACAAAAAAATTGACGCGCTATTTAGTAATAATAATGTGTATAAATGACGGCCAATAGTACACTAATGTTTTATGTGTCTTTAATTTGATACTTTGAACTTGTAGATTTGTTTTTCTTTGACCTTGTAATGCACTATAGTCCCTATAAACATTAGGTAGTAGTAAGAGTATCACTTACATATATAGTATTATATCTGTCCCACTAACATTAGGACATTAAGATATGACACACTTATTAAAAATGTGAGTTTATTTGATTGACAATAAATTGATAGTGAGAATAAAGTAAGAGGGTGCCCTCAATTAGGAATTCATAAAGGATTTTAAAGGATTAAGATTTTAATGGATTTATATGGAATTGCATAGATTATGTGAGATTCTAATCACATGTCCTCAATGGATTTTAAAGGATCCTCGGCCGTCGCCAGATCCTCCTCCTCTGCGTCCTCATCCTCGAGCTCTTCCTCAATGTCAGTGATGTCATGTTGTTGGTAAAACTTCCCATGTCCTTAGCTCAACAGATGAGCCAGTTGCTTATCGGACATCACATTTCTCGGGTTGTAACTCGTGTCAAAATCATCTCGGCTTTGAGATGAAGACCCAATATGTCCTTTACCTTTGCGTGAAGTAGGATGATTTCTCGGGTTAGAGGTTAGTCATATCTACAGAATGTCTAACACAATCCATCTTAAAATGTAACAAATATTAAATTCTAACAAATATGTCAATGTGAGTACAAAAACAATGCAAGTAATAACAAATGTAAGTAATTTGTAACAATACTTGAAATGTGACTTTTATATTAAAATGTAAGTAATGTGATTATAATATAAAAAAGAGACTTTTATATTAAAACTAGTTTTATATTTTAATCTAACAATTGTAGTAAAATAACTAAAATTAAAACTAATTTAATACTTCAATCTAACAAGTGTAGTAAAATTAAGTAAAATTCCAACTAGTTTGATATACTCTCTCCGTCCCGGTGTACTTTGCTAAGTGCAAAATCGGTGAGAAATAAGAACAATAAAAATTGTGTGATTCAGATTTGTGCAGAGGAGAAAGAAACATGCAGAACCACAAATTAATTGCTTTTATAGGAAAGTGACAAAGTTTTTTTGGAACAACCAAAAAGGGGAAGTTGGCAAAATCCAATGGGACGAAGGGAGTATTAATCTAACAAGTGTAGTAAATTAACTAAAATTGCAACTAGTTTAATACTTCAATCTAAGAAGTCTAGTAAAATTAACTAAAATTCCAACTTGTTTTATATTTTAATTAACAAGTGTAGTAAAATAACTAAAATTGCAACTAGTTTAATACTTCAATCTAACAAGTGTAGTAAAATTAACTAAAATTCCAACTAGTTTTATAGTTTAATTAATTAAAATTTCAACTACTTTTATATTTTAGTAGATAACAAGCGTAGTTTAATTAACTAAATATGCAACCACTCTTATATTTTAATCTATTGTAACAAATGAGAATGTAACAAATATTAAAGGTGACAAAATGAGAAATGTAACAATTAACTAATTAACTAATATTAATGAAAAATGTAACTAACAGGAAAATTTTGTGAATGTATACTAATTAATGGGAGTGCAAGTGTGTAAGTAATAGGATCAATTTAACTAATATTAATTAAAGTGTAACTAATTTAGAATATAATGTTTATATTACATAATATACAAGTATACTACTATAAGATTAGTAGTACACTTTTATTTAATACTTTAATATATATACACTTTTATTTAATACTTTAATATATATACTCAATATATTAATTAGATGTAGTATATGTAAATATAAGTAAATAACAAGTATATAATAAGTACATATTAAGTAGATAATAAGTACTAGTATATATTAAGTAGATAATAAATATGAGTAGATATAATATATGTATTTATTAGTAGATAATAAGTATATAAGTAGATATAATAATTGCATAACTAATATATACTATAATGCTTATAGTATATAATATATGAGTATACTACTAAATAATGAGTAGTACACTTATATTTAATACTTTAATATATATATATATATATACACACTTCATATATTAATTAAATATAATATGTAAATATAAGTAAATAACAAGTATATAATAAGTAGATAATAAGTAGATAATAAATATAAGTAGATATAATATACTATCCTCCGTATCATAATAGTTGCAACATTGGAATTTGCACACTATTCATGTACTCTATTTTGACTACATTTTATTTATCAATGTATATGAATTGATTTTTTTTTGAAAAATATTGTTGAATTCATCTCATTACTAAGTTTCATAATCTAATTTTTTAAAGTTTTTTACTATTAGAGAATTAAATATAATGATGTTTAAAGTTGTGCATTGGCAAGCGTGAAAAGGGGAATGTTGCAACTAAAAAAGAACGGAGGAAGTATGTATTTATAAGTAGATAATAAATATATAAGTAGATATAATAATATAACTAATTTAAATAGATATGATATACTACCTCCGTCCCATAAAATTCTTCCCACTTTGACTTGACACGGAGATTAAGAAAGTGGAATAAAGTGGAAATGTATGGTTGTGGTTGTGTAAGAAAAAGGTGAAATGAATGTGAACCACACAAATTGTCCAAAAATGGTAAGTGGGAAGAATTTTTTGGGACGGCCCAAAAAGAGAAGTGGGAAGAATTTTATGGGACGGAGGGAGTATATTAATAGGTGTAGAGAGAATGAGAGAATTGGAAAAGATAAAGATGATTAGAGAGTATTAGAGAGTAGGAAGAATTGGAGAATAGGTGTAAAAAATATTTAGAAATTAGAAGTATTTATAAATTTTTTTACCCCTCACCCCCAACCGCCCAGACAACCTCCAACGGCTATAGAGCCGTTTGGACACCCCACACATTTAAAGGTTTAATCAAAAAAAGATTTTTTTAAGAGAAAACTCTCAAATAGGCCATCGTACTTTAACAAAATTCTCAATTAGGCCCTCGCACTTATTAATCACTCAACGAAGTTCATCAACTAACCACAAATATGCAATCAGGCTTTTTAGCTGGTGGGATGCCAGTTTGCCTGTTACCCGCTGACCTGGACGCCCACGTGTCCCTCCCTTACTCGGCCTTTTAAATGATGTGGCTAATCCACTTATAAACTAACTAACTAAAAGCCTAAATCTTAAAACTTAAAAAAACAAAACCTCAAACCTGGCCTTCCCTCTTTCCCCTCCTTCGTTCGAGCTTGTATCTGGTTCGCAAGTATGTCGTCTTCATCGTCAGCAACGGTAGTCAAAGAATGAAGCCGCACTATGGACTACGAGCCTGCTGTTTATTGTTGGTGTGGATTGAAAGCTCCTCTATGCATTGGTCGAGAGAGTGGGAGAACTTTCTATGGGTGTCAAAAGTGGAAGGTAAGTGTATGATTTGGGTGTGTGGTTTTGATTGACACTGTTTTTTCATGTTCATTGCTTGCGAATGTGATATAATTCAGGTAGGGAGCTGCGTTTTTTTATGGAAGGAAGACTTAGGTATCAAAGAAATTACTCCTACACAGAAGATGGAAATTGTGAGGGCTGAAGACAAGAGTGAAACCATAGAGGAATTGAAGAAATTGGTTGAAGCATTGTCGAGGCAGATGTCACATGTACAGACTGAGCTTGGGTCTGTGAAAAATGTGAGATCTATGTAGACCATGCTCAAGAACAACTACACATCCAAGAAGATGAACCAAATGCTACAAGACAAGATGCTGTAGTTATGAACAATAATACCACACAAATGCCAGAAAATGATCAAGGAATGGAACATATCCTAAGTTATGAGCATGGGGTTGACAATGAAACTGAAGCAGACAAAGATGATGAAGAAGAAGATATGAATCTACATGATGTGGTAATTCTGAACAACAAATCCAAAGAAAAGGCAAATGATAATGTTATAGATATGGAAGAAGAAAGTGATGATGAGGATGACACTACTGAGTATGACTCTTCTAACCACCTAGTCTGCATTCAGATGATGAAGAAGAAGTGAAGTCCAAAAGGTCAGTCCATGGGAATGGTTCTTATAACCGTGAGTCAGATCCTCCCCTTTTAAGGTGGGCATGTTGTTTGAGGATGGTAAGCAATTTAAAAATGCTATGGTGAGGTATGTTGTGTATCACAAGAGAGACATAGTCTTTGTTAAGAATGAGCCATTGAGAGTCAGACTGAAATGTGCCATCACTTGCCCTTTTGCAAGTACTGCTTCATGGGAAG